CCTGCAGTAAGCACCCTGCAATAAGCACTTGCACTGAACACCCCACAGTGAACACCCTGCAATAAGCACCTGCAGTAAGCACCCTGCAATAAGCATCTCAGTGAGCACCCCACAATGAACACCTTACAGTAAGCACTTGCAGTGCAGTGAGCACCTGCAGGGCAGTTCTAGCTCTAATGCCGTAGTCTTGTACAGCATGTTGTATGGGAAAGGATGGATGAGATACTTGGATACTGAGGACAGCACAGGTAGAATCTGGGACCAGCTACCAATCCCCGTCTGTTTGTTTTTCTAGAGACCCGAGATGATGAGCCTGTGTGTGGGAGACCCCTGGGTATCCGTGCAGGGCCCAATGGGACTCTCTTTGTGGCTGATGCATACAAGGGACTATTTGAAGTAAATCCCTGGAAACGTATGTGATAATGTATTGTTTCCTTCTATGATGATTTTAGATCTTTTAAACAGTATATGTATGTATAGACTTAATAGGATTTGTTAACAACAGTCTGCTAAAGACTTTGATATTTCTTATTCACTGAACAGTACTGAAAGCATTGCCTGCAAAAGTCAGCTAGTTTTAAACACCAGAAAACTCCCTACCCATGATTGCATTTGGTCCGTACCCTAATTTCCTCCAAGCATTTATATTTTAGCCACAGGGTCTCAAAAGGACTTATTTTGAGGAAGTTAGACCTCTGTCTTTATTTTTCTGTGTGTCTCTCTGCATCTTGTCTATTTGTTTTCTCTCTTTTTCTTCTCTGTGGCCCTCCCCTTTGTCTCTGCTTTTCTGTTTTCTCCTGTAGTTCCTCCTCTTCTTTCCCCTGACTGCTCATGAGTCCCCTTGACCAGACTGTAGTATGTGCTGTGTGTCTCAGTGGAGGTTCCTGCTGGGGAGGAGTCCATTGTCTCGTGCAGTGCATGGGGGCCCGAATGTAGGCCCTGCAGCCCAGCTGCTTGGGGCCGTTCCACTCTGCTGGCCACCAGCTGTGACTGCAGGTCCCTTGACTGCTCTGTGCGCAGCTTCCTCATCAAATTGGGGTCATAGTAATCCTGCCCGTGGGATTGTTGTGAAGGTTTAAAGGCGGTCACACCTCAAGAGTGCTTAGCACTCAGTCCGTGTTCTTTCTATTATTTTTCAGAACTTATACTACTGCTTTTTTTTTCTAAAAGCAGATGAGTAGACTATGTCATATTTTTCTCAAATAGAACTACAGCCTGCCTAACACTTGCAATATATGTTATCAAGTCAGTTGACCTTCTAGGTCAGTTGACCTAGAAGAAAGAATTCCTCATCTTTATAGAAAAGATTCTGCCTTTAATGAAGTTAGTCTAAAAAAAAAATCATTTAACACCTAATACTGTTTTTACTATAAGAAGGAATGAATCTTCTGACATATGACATGGAGAAGTTTCAGTTTTTCTTTTTAAATCAGGCTGGTTAATATTTTGAAATTATTGAAAAGAAAGTTCCTAGTTCAAGTCAATCTTTTTCTTTCTTTTTAAACTTCAGGTGAAGTGAAACTGCTGCTGTCCTCCGAGACACCCATTGAGGGGAAGAAAATGTCCTTTGTGAATGATCTTACGGTCACTCAGGATGGGAGGAAGATTTATTTCACTGATTCTAGCAGCAAATGGCAAAGACGAGACTACCTGCTTCTGGTGATGGAGGGCACAGATGACGGGCGGTGAGGCCTTGCTCCAGGTCTCCCATTTGTTGAGTTCACCAGCCAGGCCAGCCGCTTCAGCAGAGCCTGTTACTTCTAGGGACCAAGGGAGTATTTTCAGCATCATATTTCAGCTTCTAGTACAGGACCTTAGTGGCTTCTGGAGGCAGGTGATGGATGTCACAGAATGGAACAAAGTGCTTTCGTTTTCTCTGAGGAAATAAAACAGGCCAGTCCGTCTGAGGGTGCAAGTCCAGGCAGTCAGGAGAAACCCTGGAGGCAGGCCGGGGCTTTGAGTTGCCTCTCTGGCGGGGACTCCTGTCCGGCTCCCAGGTCAGCAAGAGAACTTGGGATTCTCTGGAGGGGACACTGGATCTGCTCTGGATGGGGAAGGGCCCCCAGGGGCCAGCCTTGAGTCAGGTTTGAGCAGGGGACCCAGGGCCTGTTGTTCCAGGTTGAGGTGGAGTCACCTTCTGCAGGCCCGTGCCCTGAAGGCCCAGAGTGGTAGCCAGGGATTCTCCCGCATAACCCTCTGCTTTTGGTGTTCCACAGCCTGCTGGAGTACGATACTGTGACCAGGGAAGTAAAAGTTTTATTGGACCAGCTGCGGTTCCCGAATGGAGTCCAGCTGTCTCCTGCAGAAGACTTTGTCCTGGTGGCAGAAACGACCATGGCCAGGATACGAAGGTGTGTGTGGGATTAGCTGAGCTGTCAGTTGCTGGCCAGAGCACATCATGGCGGGGTAGAGTGGGCATGGAAATGGGATCGACAGAAATCAGAGGCAGCAGTGCACCTTCTGCATGGCATGTTAAAGAAAATTCAAGGGTGCACTTTTCTTTCTCCCATTGCGAGTCGTAGTCTGGGAGTGTCTTAAGGCCAGCTGGTGCAGCCTGGGCCCCATTCCCCTGCTGGCAGGGCCTTGGTCATCCCCCGACTTGCTTCCCCTCTATTCATGCTGGGCCCTGTGCACAAAGGTTTCTTCTCAGCAGCTGTGCCTTTGTTCATGATGGACATAGTTAGAGCACTTTCCATATATATATTTGGACCAAGACTTGGTGCTTGGCTAAAATTTTTATCTTAAATTGAGGGGCTATGGCTCACTGTCTGCTTGGGTGAATTTTTCAGAGTCTATGTTTCTGGCCTGATGAAGGGCGGGGCTGATCTGTTTGTGGAGAACATGCCTGGATTTCCAGACAACATCCGGCCCAGCAGCTTTGGGGGGTACTGGGTCGGCATGTCAACCATCCGCCCTAACCCTGGGTTTTCCATGCTGGATTTCTTATCTGAGAGACCCTGGATCAAAAGGATGATTTTTAAGGTAACTATAAAAACTGTTACTCCAAAAAAGAAAATGGAAGTGAATTGAATCATATTTTTTTGACCCTTATAGCTTAAAAATCTAATTCTGCTTGTAGTATTTGGCTCTGAATGACACTTAGAAACACATTTTATTCTTCATCCTGAAATGCAGATTTAAACATTTGGACCCTTTGGTTCTTCTGGTTTCCCTGTTTCTGGGTGTTTTGATTGCCACCCTCACCATCATGGCTCTGGGCATCCGCCTGCCTGTCAGTCTCGCTCCTCCATCTGCCATGGCTGTGCCAGGCCTTCTCTGCTCTCCGCCCTCCTCTCTGCCTCCTCAGGGAAAGAGTCGGAAGGTGCCCCTTCCTCCCCTCCCTGCAGGTGTGGCCACCCCTGTAACCCAGTCACCATAGCTACCGTCGCGCCTGCTGTCTGCTGCCTTCTTGCAGCCTCACTGCCAGGCACCCTTCTCTATGGAGTTCTGCCCTTTGACCTCCTACCACACCCAAATCTTTTCCTTTAAAAAAAAAAAGTCACCCACCCCCACCAATGGCCAGCCATAGCCCCTTCAACACAACAGCCCCTTCAACACAACAGCCCCTTCAACACAACAGCCCCTTCAACCCAGCCTTTAAAGCTTGCCGTTTTCCCAGTGGCTTCCATGAAGCACCCCACATCATAACTCAGCACGTTTACACTGTGGAGGGGTCACTTGCTGACATGGGCGCTTGTGTAATATAGAGATCTGCTTTTCCAGCAAGCTCCATGTCACAGGCTGAATAGGTATTTGAAGTTGATACTGAATATTTGAACTGATATGGAAATACTAGCTTATGGTCCTGGGGCTGACAGGCAGCAGTTGCTGAGTCCTGCTGCCGGGCTGTGTGCCTGGACCCCTCCTAGGGGCTGCGTGCACATTCTCAGACTGGCTCACGGTCTTCAGTGATGTGAGTTCTGTGGGTTACTGTGTGGGAAGTCCTAATCTGTTGAGAAATCTGTCCTTCTCTTTGCCTTATTGGCTCCAGAGATACCATCTGTTCCTGCTGGCACCTAGGGGGAGGCAGAATAGCAGGTGGGCTAGCACAGGGGTTTTGGAGGCTGCCAGACCAGCTGTGGGACCCTGGGCCAGAGACTTGGACTCTCTGCCTCAGGTACTCTGTCTGTAAAGTGGAAAGAGTAATAGCACCTCATCAGGTGCTGGGAACATTTAGTGAGAATCTGCACATAGCGCTCTTAGCTTAGGGTAGTGTTAGTGGTGGTTGTTTGTGTCTCTTCCCCTGAATAGAATATGCATACCATCAGAGCAGGTGTTTTTCTGCGTAATTCATTTGTCATCCTCCACACCTGCAACAGTGCCTGGCACATGTAGGCATGAGGACGTACCGTTGATTGAGGGCATGGTTAGGGAGGGGGCTGCAAGCATGAGGGAACACGGAATCTTCCTGCAGCTGGGTGAGGAGGGGTGAGAGGGAGAACCACAGCCCCATGGACTTGGAAAGAAGGTTCAGTTTTATTCAAAATGTAATCCAAGTCATTGAAGATTTTTTTGTTTTTTGTTTTTGAGACAGAGTCTCGCTCTGTCACTCAGGCTGGTGTGTAGTGGCACAATCTCGGCTCACTGCAGTCTCTGCCTCCTGGGCTCAAGTGATTCTCCTGCCTCAGCCTCCTGAGTAGCTGGGACTACAGGCGTGCACCACCACGCTCGGCTAATTTTTATATTTTTAGTATAGACGAGTTTTCACCGTGTTGGCCAGGCTGGTCTCGAATGCCTGACCTCGAGTAATCCACCCACCTCGGCCTCCCAAAGTGCTGGGATTACAACCGGGAGCCACCATGCCCAGCCTGATTTTTTTTTTTTTTTTTTTTTAAATTTTGAGACAGTATCAAAGCTGTGGAAACGGAGGGTACAAGGGATTTTTTTTCCCAGCACTGTTTTCGAGTTAGCTGCTGGCCTGATGTCCTGTCACTCATTGCAGATGCCTGAGCGTGTGTTTGGCACGTTCTCCTCATTACCACCGGTCGAAACCAGGAGATGCTCACAGCTCCCCTGTGACTGTCTGGTCTGCAGGCCCTATTCAGATTTCGCCAGTTGTCCTGCTGTTGTCCTTTATAACAAAGGATCCAACCCAGGATCAGAAGTGGTGTTTAGCTGTCAGCTCTGTTTCATCTCCTTCAGTCTGGGGATATTCAGCCCGTTTTTGTTTGAAGTTTTGGCCTTGATCCTTCGGAAGCGTACAGGTCAGCTGTGTCCCGGAATGTCCCTCCAGTAGGGTTTTTCATGTTGAGATTCTGGTCTCGTATCGCTGGCAGTAGTGGTACAGCCATGAAACTGTGCTCATCTTGACGAGGCTGTCATGAGGGCACAGTATCAGTTTGCTCTGTTGGGGTGGGGCAACTTCGGCCACCTGATTCAGGCGAGGAATGCCAGGTGTCTCCACCTTGACGTGGTTCTTTCGTGTTTAATTACTGAGTCGCTCACGGAGAGAAGGTTTCTGTAAGTAATCATCAGTGCCATCTTATGGTTTCCCATGTTCTTAATGGTGATTATGTTACAGTCATCATTGATATTGATGTTCAAATTACCCATCTGTGGCCAGGAGGAGCCCCTTCAGTGTGGCTTCTGGGCCTTTGGGCATGTCCTGTTGTCTTGGGCTGGCTCCTCACTTTCCAGCACGTAAGTTGTTCCAGGTTCCTCTCGTATTGTCCCTGCTCCAGCTCTGCAATTGGCCATTTCTCCCAGGAGCCCTGGTTGCCTGTGGAGGAGATCTGGGTGCTAAGTGTACTCGCTGCCTTGGGTGTCGCTGCTCCCAGGTCCCCAAGGGACTGCGCTGGCCGTACAAGCACATGATACGTACTCACACATGCTTGCATGCGTAGACATCACACACACACCGCTCATGCTTATGCCTGCATCTGTCATCTGTAAATTGAAAACCATGACAACACCACAGATTGATCCAAGTTTTCTCCCCTTATTTCTCCCCCTATTTGTACCTCTCTAACAGTGAGAAACCTGGATCCCATTGTGCTCCCTAGGTTTACCTGTTCAACCATTTTCTCTGTATGTGACCAATCTGTGGCTTCTGTGCCCTGTCACATGGCCCCATCCAGGGCTGTAGCACCCCATGCTAGGCTGTCCCCTTCCTCCCTGACCGTGTGCTGAAGGCTGCCTTTCCCCTCAAGGGCTGTGATCTCTGCACCGGGCTGTCCCTGGGTGTACACCTCTTCACTTGCATGGGCTGTCACACCCTGATCTGGGCCTCACTGTGGGGATACCTCCTCACCCCATGTGGGCCCTGACAGCCTGTGCCAGGCCACCGCCCTGAAGGGACACCTCCTTATCCAAGCGGAGTGGGCTGGTCTGGGTCACCGTGGTCTGCCATCCCCTGCACACGTGTACCCTGCTCAGCCCCATGCTCCTGATGGAGTTGTTCAGGCAGGGAGTGATGTAGTACAAAGAATGTTTTTAAAGAGAACTGCAGCTACTGAAAGGAGAACAGCTTGCAGCAGGTCTCAGCTGGCTGTGGGAGCCTGTGTGGAAGCTGTCCCAGTGACTGGGGAGAGGTGGCAGGGCAAGGCCCAGGCCAGGGACACACACAACAGATGGCAAGACTGGTGGCTGGGCTTGTAGGGCACAGAGAGACCGGGATCAAGGGAGGGCTGGGGTCCTGGCCTTGTCTCTGGAGCTGGGGAGGCTGTCGAACTTGAAGTGCTATTAGAAAGTCCAGGCAGACATGGGTCCCAGACGGTGAGAGACAGCACTGGTGTTGGAAATGGAGATGGCAATTTGAGAGATTTCTGGGAAAGTGACTAGTTGTAATAGTAAGAGAAGATGAGATCTCTTAGGAAGAAGAGAGGAGAGGAGAGCGGGAAGGATCCATGGCCGAACAGCAGGAGGTGGCATTTCGTGGGTAGTGGGAAGCCTTGGGAGTTTTTTGAGCTGTAATGCAGTTGATCTATTGCTGTTGAACCTAGAGTCTAGTCAACTTGTCTGTCTGCTTGAACATTTCCAGTGACTGGGAGACATTATTCATTGGACACTCGTTTGGATATTTCCACTTGTATTAAATGCTAGAAATCTGTCTGTTAATTTCCATTCCTTGGTCTTAGGCAGAGGAGTGCTTTGTCGTAATATCCGACCAGGTGTCCTTCTGCTCTGCCAGAAATCATGCCTCTCGCCATCTGTTCTCTGCTTAAAACTCTTTAGCAGTCCCATGTGACCACAGTCTAGGTCTAAGCTCTTTTGCCTCCGTCCCTGGAGGCATCCCTCAGGATCTACACACCCCGCTTTGATGAAAGCAGTGGGATTTTGCTGTCTCTTTTGGAAGCCATGTTGTGTGGTCTGTGGACCTGCTCGCCTTTTTTTGAACATGAGCTGCTCTCAAATCTCCATCGTTTGCACCTCGCCTATTTGAAATGTTTTAAACCTAAACAGAAGACTTGTGTATTCCAGGGAAGCTGTGCTGGTTGTTGTCTGGTGGGTGGAGGTCATTCTGAGCCTTGGCTCCAGTGCTGTGACCACCTTGGATGTGATGTGTCTCCCTGAGTTCAGCCAGGCCGTCCAGAGATGTGCTCATGTTGCTGTCCTTGTGCTGGGGAGCCTCTTTGGCCTGATCTTCACAGGGACAGGGGTGGGGTGGGGTCTGCTTTGGGGCCCCTGGGGCTGGGAGTGGGAGCTGGGTTAGCTGTCCTGTGGGGCACTGCCCTGTGGGGCTGCCCTGTCTTGGAAAGGAGTCAGACCCTTCCTGGATGGTGGGGGTGGCGCGGTTGATCTGTGCACAGCATTCTTGGCCAGATAGTGAACTCTCCCTGCACTGTGCTTCCCTCTAGCTCTTTAGTCAGGAGACGGTGATGAAGTTTGTGCCGCGGTACAGCCTCGTCCTAGAACTCAGCGACAGCGGTGCCTTCCGGAGAAGCCTGCATGATCCCGACGGGCTGGTGGCCGCCTACGTCAGTGAGGTGCACGAGCACGACGGGCACCTGTACCTGGGCTCTTTCAGGTCCCCCTTCCTCTGCAGACTCAGCCTCCAGGCTGTTTAGCCCTCCCGGATAGCTGCCCCTGCCATGTAAGCCAGGAGTCTTCACACTAAGGCACCAGGCCTGGTCCAGGAGGAGCTGTGGACACAGTCATGGTTCAAGTGTCCACATGCACTTGTCAGTCCCTGAGGGATGGTGGGCATGGCTGCTTCATCCCTTGAGGATGCCCGGGCCCCATCTGGGCTCATCTTTCTGTTTAGAGGGAAGCGTAACATATCTGCCACCGGGAAGATAAATTCATGTGAAGCAATTTTCTCTTAAAAAAAAAAAACAAACAAACAAAGCTTTCTAAGTACAATCATTCTCTAGGACTTGGGAAGCTCCTTGCACTTGGAACAGGGCTCAGGTAGGTGGAGCAGTAACACACTGCCCAGGAAGTTTGCTGCTGTGGCCCTGTCCTGCGGCCTCAGAGTCCTTCTTTACTATTATGTAACGTGCGGTCATACCTTTATTGGGGTGGGAATGGAAGAGCAGAGGGAGGATGGCCCAAGGGTGTTGAGGCCAGCAGTGAGAGCTGTGTAAGCCAAGACTTGGAACTGTGTTCTCAAGGGTTGTGTGGGACGTGGGCTCTCCATAGTGTGTAGGAAAAGCATGTTGACTCTAGCGGCTCAGAGAGGACTTTGCTGGGTTTCTTTCTGTGAATATCTCCGCACTGACCATGCTGGAATTGGATGCTTCTGCAATTTGGGACCTACTGCAGGGGTCCGTTTAGTAACGTCCTGTCTGTAACCTTTGTTGTTGACCTCTAGACCCCAAGATGTGAACAGTGCACGTGTTAATGTCATCTTTGCTCGTGTGTTATAAGCCCCAAGTTGCTGTATATTTTCACAAGTATGTCTACACACTGGTCATGATTTTGATAATAAATAATGATAAATTGACTTGTGCTGATTAACCTTTTTTGATGGTGTGGCCTGGGAGTTTCTTCTCTACTTTAATTAACAGTACTGAAGTTTAATTCCATCAGGTGTTGATGTAAGGATTGTCTTGGTGAGGATGATGTTTTAAGGCCAAGTAGTCCATCCGACTAGCTCAGGAGGGAAGCGGCGGGACCTCTCAGGCAGCCGTCTTCGGGCAGGGAGCAGGCAGCCTTAGGCCATCTGCTCTTGACGTTGACTCCTTGTGGTGTAAGTTGATATTACACTTCTCTCCTGTTTTCCAGCCTACGAAATGGGGCTGACATCTGCTCCTTTCTTTCCTGGGTATTTGTGACAGCAATAGAGATTGTGCCTCCAAAAATGTTTGGAATAACTTCACAGAGACAGTATTTTAAATGGATACTAATAAAAGTTAGAAAAAAATCAGATAAATATGTAATGATACAGAAATTCAGAGAACTGATAGCTGTGGTAACATCGGGACCATCTGTGTGCACTGTTTGGCCTTAGACTCCTGTGCCCTCCTCTCCCCTGAGTGGTGGCCAGGCCCTGTTGGGGAAGAGAGCCGGGAGTCTGGTGGTTAATTCCTCCCAGTACTGGTCAGGCCCCGTGTTGGGGGAAGAGAGTCAAGAGTCTGATGGTTAATTCCTCCCAGCACTGGCCAGGCCTCATGTTGGGGGAAGAGAGTCGGGAGTCTGATGGTTAATTCCTCCCAGCGCTGGCCAGGCCTCATGTTGGGGGAAGAGAGCTGGGAGTCTGATGGTTAATTCCTCCCAGCGCTGGTCAGGCCTCATGTTGGGGGAAGAGAGTCGGGAGTCTGATGGTTAATTCTCCCAGCACTGGCCAGGCCTCATGTTGGGGGAAGAGAGTTGGGAGTCTGATGGTTAATTCCTCCCAGCGCTGGCCAGGCCTCATGTTGGGGGAAGAGAGCTGGGAGTCTGATGGTTAATTCCTCCCAGCGCTGGTCAGGCCTCATGTTGGGGGAAGAGAGTTGGGAGTCTGATGGTTAATTCTCCCAGCACTGGCCAGGCCTCATGTTGGGGAAGAGAGTTGGGATTCTGGTGGTTAATTGTGTGTCCCCCCTTCTCAAGGCTGGCTCCTGGGGGCAGCACCAGTAGGACAGAGGCAAAGATGGGATTCTATCTAGTTGGTGTGACCCACATTGTGTCAGATGAACAACTGAAAATTTTTTATGTGACTCTATAGGAAAGAAAATTAGTGGTCATTAGAAATACTTTTAGTAACAAATGATGTACCTTGTATGTCAAGTATACAAAGAAAGTAAGATAATACCTAATCATTCTGTCATACAAACAACATAAATGTACTGGGCTTATAGGTAGACTTCCCTTTTCAAATTGAGAACAGAGAGCTTTGCTTTCAGCGCGTAATTTTCACAAATATAAAGAAGCTGGCAAACTGTTATTCACAGTTTTCAGCAAAGGAGTCTTGATTTTGACTTAGCTGTTGATTTTCTGTCTCCAAGTGTCATTTCCTGTGTTTTATCTGGTAATTTGACGTGGTGAGGTGTGAAATAGAGTCTTCTTATTAGGTTTTAATATGTGATATGCTTTTGCTGTAAACATAAAAGGGATTCATTCTAACGTGAATTACTAACATGCTCTTAATCGGGTGACTCATCGTGTGCCTCTGTTATCCCTTACAGAAACTCCATCAAGATTCAGCTATTACATTTCATAGGACAGAGATCTCAGTTTGAGATTTTTATCATCAGCTTACACTTGCAGAGTGGTCTGTAGTTCTGAAAGTTGTTCACATATGTTGACTCTTAATGATTCCAGAAGACATGGCCTCATTGTACCAATGGGAACTGAGGCTCCGAAGGGTTAGGTTAGTGACTGCCAGAGTCACAGCTAGCACAGCCGAGCCAGCCTCCTGGGGATGTGACTGGAGAACGCGCGGGTGAAGCTGGGAGCAAGGGTGACAGCGGCTGGCTGTGCAGTGCCCCTGCAACCTATGGATCATGGCAGGGCACTGACTCAAACCTTGGCTGCACAGCAGAGTCCTCTGGGGTGCCCAGGTCTCAAGGTGGCCCAGTCTGGCACTTCTTCCAGTCTTCTTCCAATCCTGGTGCCCTCCAGCCCTCGGTGGCCTCTCCCTCCTCCTGCACCCCCAGCACAGTCATCTTCAGTGGGGCGCCCTCTCTGGAGGGCTCTGGGGAGTGGTCTGCTGCTCTGCCCCCACTCAGGCAGCAGGGCAAGTCTCTGCGAGGCCTGAACCTCAGGGAGGCACAGCCGTGGCCCTGCTGCTCCTGGTGTGGACAGCTCACCTCTTCTGGGGCTTTGGCCTTTAGAGGGTTATAGCTAGCAGCTCAGGCTGGTCAGGCCCCCAGAGGAAGTAATTTCAACCTGTCAGAACCCTTGGTAAAGGGGATCCCTGGTAAGGCTTGCCTCACCTCCCGATGCTCCCCTAAAAGGGCCAGCATGGCTGCTGCTCGCTGTTCATCTTGATTCCCAGCTGTGTTCATCACAACAGGCCAAGGTGCCCAGTGGCCAACGGGGTCCCTGCCCACAGCTCTGCCGCTGATTCAGACCCAGAGCTGTACCCTGCTCTCCTGGGGGCCTGTAGCCACGGGGGCTCATCCCTTACTTTCACAACTCCCTCCATTGACTCAGTCCCCTGCACCCAGACCCGGAACCTTGGTGTGCAGCCTCAGAAACAGGAGTTCATTTTAGAAGCAAATGTGATCTATTTAATCTGTTAGGAGGCTCTACCATGCTCCCATTCCAGCTGCCCTGCAGTGACCCAGCGGCACTTCATCTGCTCACTCGTCAGAGGCCTGAGAGGGTCTGTGAGGCCGGTCATGAGATGGGTGGGAGGGGACAGGGAGCACGCATCCTGGTGTTTGTCACGGCTGTGGTCTTGCTGAAGAAGCGGGGGTCAGTGACAACGGAGAACAGGCACCTCGAAGTGCTGGAGCCAGGGCACGACCCAGACTTCAGAGTAGCAGCTCAGAGTCTGAAACAGAAGGCAACACCTGAGAGCTCAGACTTGCCCTGCGGGGAGCCCTCTGCCCGTGGAGGGGTGCTCCTCACAGAGGAGCTCTTCTCCTGCCCCTAGTTTTCATTCTGAAAAATTTCAAACCTACAGAAAACTTGAATGATTTAAGAAGATATGCTTTTCACCTCTATAATTGCTGAATGTTGCCATGTTTCCTTTCTCTTACTCTCTCTGCAGAGATATGCTATATATGATATCTATCATATATATCATATACATGTATATGATATATATATATAATTTCTGGATTGTTTGAAAGCTTTTCTTACTCTAACCCTTTCCACCCGCACCCCAGGACGCTCTTCCCAAGCTGTGTCTCCGCCTCTAGGACGGGAGGATGTCGTCTGAGGACCTCCTGGCACAGGCTCTACCTCCTGTTCTCCCGGATCCTTGGTCATGCGGGAGTCTGGAAGGCCTGGCTTCCTCAGGGGTGAGGTTTGGAGTGCTGTGTTAGAGAAATGGTGACAGGGTGTTTTTCACAGCCTGGGAGGGGGTGGGCTGGGGAAGAGAGGGCGCATCTGAGAGAAGGGCCTGCTGCTTTACCCGCTTTAATGTTTGGTTGGTTTGGAAGTCACAGTCGTCCAGACGCGGGTGCTGGTTTTTCTTGCAGGTAGTTCTGCCAATTTCCACCTCAAGCATGTATTTCAGGCCTTTCACTATCTGTAGGGAGCAAAGGGACTGGGTTAGTGGGCACAGGGGAGGGAGGGCAGGCTCCTCCACTAGCAAGCGGGGCCTCAAGACAGTGGTGCAGGTGCCCACGCAGGAGAAGGGAAGTGGGCCGGCGTTTTGGGGCAATGCTTCCGGCTTACGGCAGAGCCTGCAGACCCCTCCCACTCCCCTCCCTGCCCGTGCTGGGGTTTGTGCCCCTTCCTGAGACAGGTGTCTCCTTTCTGCCCAGAGCTCTGGACTCAGAAGGGACGTCACACTAGGTCTCCTGCATGCCCTGCTGAGCCCGCCCTGCAGCCCTCACTCCAGCCCCCTGATGGCATTTCTTGTGGCCTCTGTGTCAGGCCTGGGGTCTGTGGACTTCCCCTCCCCATTCCTGGGGTTGAGAGTTTTGAGTTTCCGGACAGCCCTTCTCCACTTGGATATGGCAGCCACCTGGTTCTTTCTCATTTGTGGTCTCGGAGGAGTCGAAGAAAAATTCCTCAGGTTTTAGTCTCGGCTCTAGGGAAATTACGTTGTCCCCAATATTGCCAAGCTGGAGAGGGACAACCTCCAAGCCCCCTCCCAGAGAACCCCGAGGACTCAGGCCCAGGGCATCCCGCTGGCTCCTGGAGAAGGAGGGAGGGCCTGCGTCACCCAGGCCAGGCTGTGGAGTGACGACCCTGGCTACACGCCATACTGCCTTCTGTAGCACGCTTCTCATAGGAAAGCATGCTGCCCTTCACAAGTTTGCAATTGTCAGAAATAATTAGGTTATAAAAATCACCCCGACCTGTGACCCAGCATAACCATGAACACTGTGAAGACTGCCTTGGACAGGGCTGCTTCTGTCCCTTCCCTCCAGGCGCCAGCACGCGGTGTTGGGTGTCATCCACAGCCTGTGTCCCACATTAGCAAGTGGGTGTTCTCAGGACACAGACGAGCAAGGCCTGGCTGTGTCCCAGAGGGTCCCCTAGGAGGGAGGGTGCTGAGCAGGCACAGTAAAAATGAGTCGGGGAAAGGGCAGTGGCTTGGGCAGAGCTCTGGGACTCTGGGATGTGAGTGAGCACTCCAGGGGGAAAGTGGCAAGGACACTTCTGGGCTGCAGGGCACGTGAGGAGTGAGGCCAGATGGGGACCCTGGTCCCAGCAGGAACAGCTCCTCGGACAGTGGCTTTCTCCCCCGTCAGCCTTGGCGCCCGCCTCCAGGAGCCCCATTAGGGCCCTGGCGCCTTCTTACCCCATGCCTAGTGGGCTCTGGGCCAGGGGCCTGGTAACTGCCGGGGAGCCGTGTGCTTTGTGTAACCTTTGTGCCTTGCCCTGGGGATGCTGGCCTCGGCTGCTGCTGTCCACTCCAACGCCGTATGCATCTGCTTTCTGCCCAGAGTTCTGCACTCAGGAGCGACTTCACATTACATCCGCCCTTGCTCGCCTAGGTGTCGCATTGTAGCAACTCAGCTGCTTAGGGCTGTTCGTGACATGTGACCAGAACCCAGACCGTTACCTGAACTAGGGCCCTTGTAATGCGGGACTCCTTGAACAAGAACATGTCGTTCGTGCAATTGTTGAACTTCTCAACACTGTGTCTGGCTGCTTGGAGGACTCCTGGGTCGTTGGTCTTTATTGTTTTAGGAAATCCTGGATTCACACCTGAGATAATGTCCTGGGAACAAGTATCTGAAAGAGACGAAGAACCAGATAAGAACACTGATGTTAGCGGGGTTTTCAGTCCAGGTGTCATACCTCATGCCTCTGTGGTTCTCAGTTCTCCGCTGGCGTGTGCCTCTTGGCCCCACCCACCCCTCACCTG